GAGCGCGTTGTGTTCGATGGTCCCGCTGCCCAAGGGCAGCTGCAGAAGTCAGCGCCCCTTTCAGCCTCGGGGGGCCCGGAGCCCGCTCAGCACCGACCTCCCGCACCCCTCCAGGCTGCCGGGGGTCCCCGGCTCCGGGATCGCCCCTCTGCGCTCTCCCCGCTCCGGGGCTCCCCCGTTCACCCCCGGATCTCCCGGGGATCTCCAGACACAACATCGCCAACCCTTCCTGACAGAATTCTTGACACCCCACCATGATCCCTCAAGGGGCATTTCTGACTCAGCTTTTGGGTTCTGCAAGATCCAAACATTCCCTGTCCCACAAAAACCCCTCCCAGCGACCCCTCCCTCATAGATTAGGGGCGAGCTCCCCCTCCCAGCTCACCTGAGGGGTCCGATGGGGGCGATGCAGCCGAGGGAGCTGCGGACTGAGGGGGGAAACTGCGAGGTTCTGCTGCTGCTCCTCTTCCTCCCGCTTCTCCTCCTCTCCCAGCCCGGCCCGGGCAGGTACCGACACCCAAAAGCAGCCGCGCTCGGCCCTGCGGAGCACTGGGAGCGATACTGGGAGCACTGGGAGCGATGCTGAGAGCCCTGGGAGTGATACTGGGAGCGCTGGGAGCGATACTGGGAGCCCTGGGAGCGATACTGGGAGCACTGGGAGCAATACTGGGAGCACTGGGAGCGATGCTGAGAGCCCCGGGAAGGAACTGGGGGCGCTTTCCCTGCCAGTTCCGCTCTGACTGGATTCCAGCTGCAGGAAGACAAGGGCCAGGGGATGTCACCTGGGCAGTGCCTGGCCTTGGCGATCGCTGCGTGCGCTGCTGTTCTGCAGAAATTGGGAATCGTTAGGGATCCCCAGACCCTGCACATCTCCATTCCCTGTGTGGGCCTCTGAACTGGGTCAGGCCCTGCTTAGGCCTCACCAATGAGGATCAGGCCCCCCCAGTTTATTGGAGGGGGACAGAGAGCTGGTCTCTCCCAGGGAACTGACCCCAGAGGCAGAAGCCACAATCCAAAAGGCACAGAAGGCTTTGGCCAAGGGCTAAGCTCAGCACTGTCAGCCCGAGCTGCCTTTCAAATTCATTGTCCTGGCAAAGCTGCCACACTTGCATGGTTTAATATTCCAATGGGTCAAAGGACACAAAGATCCACTCTTAATCACAGAGTGGGTTTTCCTCTGCCATCAGTGATCCAAGACCATCACCAAGCCACAAGAGCTGATGGCTCAGCTGATCAGGGAAGCCCAGGTAAGACTGCATGAGCTGGCTGGTTGTGGCTTTGTGTGCATTCACTCCTGGTTAAACTTTCTAAGGAGGGGAAGAAGTCTCTTGAGAAGTTGACCAAAGAGATGTTTGAGCTCCTGCTCCAGAGCAATGCCAACCTCCAGTTATCTCTGGACAACTACAGTGGACAAATATCAGTCCATGCTCTGTCACACGAGCTGTTTAATGAGGAATTCCAGCTCATTCCTCATGGGAAAAGGAGCTGTAGGCCACCCAAAGCTCTCACAGTGTTCACTGACGTGTCCAGGACATCCCACAAGTCGGTGATGACTTGGAGAAATCCCCAGACCCAGCATTGGGAAGCTGATGTTGAGTTTGTGGAGGGGTCACCCCAGGTCGTTGAACTGGCCACAGTCACGAGAGCCTTGGAGAAGTTCTCAGAGCCAATTAATTTGGTGACAGACTCAGCCTACGTGGCAGGGATAGTGTCCAGGGTGGAGCAGGCAGTTCTCAAAGACATTGAGAATGAGCATCTCTTCAGGCTGCTCCCAAAGCTAATTTGTGTAGTTTCACATCGAGAGCATCCATTCTATGTGGTGCCTGTGAGGTCACACACGAGTTTGCCAGGAGAAATCACAGAAGGGAATGGTAAAGCAGAGTCCCTTGCTGCCCCAGCTGAGGAGGCACATCTCCCACACATCTCCAAGAGGCAAAGCTGAGCCTGCAGCAATACCATCCCAATGTGCCAGGTCTGATCCCTCAGTTCCAGCTAACACAGAGTCAGGCCTGGGCCATTGTGGCCACCTGTCCCAGTTGCCAGCTCCAGGCCACGCCATCGCTGGGCATGGGGGTTAACCCCCGAGGCCTTGGGAGCTGGGAAGTGTGGCAGACTGACATCACACACATTCCCAGGTTTGGTGGCCTCAGATATGTACATGGAAGCACTGACACACGTTTGGGTGTGGTTTCTGCCTCTGCCCAGGCAGGAGAAAGGCTGTGCACACCAAACAACACCAAGTGCAGCCTTGTCAGTGCTGGGGATCCCTAGGGAAATCAAGACCCAGACGGCCCAGTGTATAAATCCAAGGAGTTCCTAGAGTTTGTCCAGCAGTGGGGAGTGGAGCATAAAACCAACATCCCCCAGTCCCCACAGGCCAAGGTGTGGCTGAGCGTGCCCATCAGACACTCAGACAAGTCCTGGCTGGGCAGAGCAGCTCAACAGTCTGGATGTGACCACAACAGAAGCTCTGCAAAGCCACGTTTACTGTCAATGTCCTGAATTGCTCATTGGAGAATACGAGTCCTCCAGGGGTACGTCCCTTTAACAGCAGTGATCAGTTCAAGTTGTGCCAGCGTCCACCTGTCTGAATGAGGAGCCCAGAAACTTGGCAGACCAGGGGCCCTTTTGGACTCGTTCCCTCGGGCCGTGGCCATGTGTGTGTATCCACCCCCTCAGGCCCACGCTGGGTGCCCCAAAAGTGATAAAACCTTTGGTCCCCAAAAATCCAACTCCAGCAGCAGGGGATGAGAAGCAAGTAGCAGCTGCTTCGGAAAGAAGACACTGCCAGAAAAAGGAGAGAAAACCTCCCTAAGATCTGGATACATTACAGCAGAAACCACGACCTTTACAGTGCTTTGAAATGTTTGTTTTCCTTTTTAGAAGAAACCTGCCTCCCAGCCAGCCTCGCCATGAGCCCTCTCCAAGTTGTCATGGTGTTAGTGCTGAGCAGTCTGACAGCTGCCTGCATCATCCCTCAGCCACGCCAAAACATCTGGGTGACCCTGGCACAGACACTGCCACAAGAAAAGAGCTGCCTGTGCACTGCAGCAGCAAGAGACCCCATGTCCACCTGCCTGGTGGGGATCCCATTGCAGGCTGGAGAAAATTCAGCCAGCTTTGCACACCTGTGCCTAACCCAGGTCCAGAGAGGAGTGGCTGCCAAATGTGCCCAAGGCATCTCAGGAACCCCAAGAATTGGAGCTGTTGGGTTCCTCCCCAGCACCACAGCTCATTCATTTTCCCTTCAGCCCATTATCCAGCACCAAAGCCTTTCACAGCACACTGCAATATCGAGAGGAATTCACCACCTAAAGGTGGTGTAATATTCTGAGTCGTGTTGCAGCACACACCCCACACCATTCATGTCCCAAAAGCCTCCCTAAGGGTCTGTTCCTAATTTGGGGATTTTGGGCGTGGGCAGGAATCCCTTCTCAGCTTTTAGGAGGGCCATGAACCATGGGGCAGTTGTCCCTGTTAGCACCCATCCAAACTTTGATTGGTGAATGGACACACAGAAACAATTTGGCCAACAAAATTCAAAAGAGAAGTGCTGACCAATTGGACCCAAACTGTGATTCAGAAATTTTTCATTGGGCCAAGTCCAAAAGAATTTCTGCTCCTCTGTTCCTTCCAGGGGTTGCAGCAGCCAAAGCTCTGGGTGAATTGGGCCACCAAGAGTGCTGGGTGGTCAAACAGGCAAACTGCACATGCACTGCCATCAGCTCCCTCCTGGATGAGGAAATCACCAGGCAGGCCACACTGCAAAATGGTGCAGCCATGGACTTCCTGCTGCTGCTGCTGCACGGACACCAATGCCAGCAATTTGAAGGACTTTGTTGCATCAACCTGACCTCAAAAGCTCCCAACATCCACGCAGCCCTCTGAGACATGAAAAGCTTGATGGGATAAGTGAAGCAAGAATCCGAGGATTGGTTCATGGAACTGTTCAAGGGCTGGGGACTCACAGGGTGGTGGACTTCAATAGTTAAAACAAATTTGTCATTTTTTGTTGTTCTTTTCCTTATAGTGTTGGCATTCGGAATTCTACAATTGCTTAATTTTCAAAGCAATTAGCACTCTAATTTCTGCTACCTCAGGAGTCAGTCACATGGAGCTGACAAACCAAAAGCAGTCTAACTTGCCTGCAAATCCTAAGTGGTGGGCAAATCCATATTCTGAATCAGTCCAACGCCTTTCTTTTCCCTTTATTTAACAAAAAGGGGAGATGTTGTATTGCACTGTTTGCTCGGTAGGTTGCCCTGTTCGTGGTTCTACACTGCACTGTGACGTTTCTGTATTGCACTGAGGAAATGGTTTGCCCTGGATGGCCCCGGGCCTTGTGAAGTTGTTTCAGCTCTCCCTTGTCCCCTCCCCGCCCGTGGTGTCCCCTTGGTCGTGGGTCTGTTCCTCCCCTGCCCTTTCCCTGAGTTTAAAAGTGCCTGCCGTCTTCTCTCTGTCTCTCTCTTTCTCCTTTCACCTCGTGGATGACAGAATAAACCGTGCACCAATTTTCCCGCGGGAGAAAAGAGCCTCCTTTGGTTTCTCACCTTTGTCTGTGAGGATTTCCCGTCCACCTGTGGTCCAGAGCGAGCCAGAGGCACCGCAGAGAAAAGGGAACTCCCTCACTCTGGCCCCTGGGAAAACTTGTGTTTCCTTCTTGCTGGTCGGTGGAGACATTCCCGTGGTCTTATTGATAACTTCACTGGCAATCTGACACCGTCCATGTGGCCACTGTGCTCCCAGGACCTGGATCTCTCAGGCAGGTCCCTTGACTTTGCTCTTCTTGATGGCAAAGCAGGTTCTGGGTGATCCTGTCTCCTTTCTCCAATGCTTTTATTGCTGTGTTCCTCCACACAATGATGTCATTGATGTACTGCAGATGTTTTGGAGCTTTACCCTTTTCTGGTGCAGTTTGGGTCAGTTGATGGCAGATGGTGGGGCTGTGTTTCCACCCCTGGGGCAGTCGGGTCCAGGTGTACTGCACTCCCCTGCAGGTGAAAGCAAACTGAGGCCTGCACTCTGCTGCCAGAGCAATGGAGGAAAATGCATTGGCGATGTCACTGGTGCCACTTTGCTGCCCTGGACTCCAGCTCATGCTGGAATTCCAGCATGTCCAGCATGGCAGTGCTCAGTGGTGGAGTATTGACAGTTGAGAGAGAGACAGGGACTGCTGACTGCTGCTCAGAATCCAAATTTACTGTGAGCTACATGTGCTGATTACCATTTCTAGGAAGGCGAGTGATTTTTGACTACATTGATTGGGTTAAACATCACACGGACAAACTGACACATTTTGAAACATTTCTATTGGATTCAGTCTTCTTTCCTGTCACCAGTCTTGATCCAATCTTCATGCAATCTTCAAAGCTCTGTTTGTTCTTGCCAAGGCATCTTGGTTATCAAACTGCTAATGCTGATTAAATCCACAGTGCTCTCTGTCTTTGCTCCCACAGTGGAGCCAATTCATTCAAGGCACAATAGTCGACAGTTAAATTTCTATTTTCTGTCAGAATTGTCCACTGGCTCATTGGGGCTGTTGAAGGATGAGTGGGTTTTACTGGCCACCCTTTGGCTTTCTAACCAAAATTTTATGGATGGGGATCACAGCATCTTGATTTGTCCAGTACTGCTGGCAGTGCACTGGTGAGGTGGCAATTGGTTCTTGTTGCTCTTTCACCTTCAGGAATCCCACTGCAGATGGGTTTTCTGATAGCCCAGGCAGGGTGTTCAACTGCTTAATGCCCTCTGCTGCCACAGCAGCTATTCCAAAAGCCCACCTGAGTCCCTTTGGGTCTTTGTAATGGCCATTCCTGAGGAAGTCTATGCCTAGGATACATGGTGCCTCTGGGCCAGTCACAATTGGATGTTTCTGCCACTCTTTCCCAGTCAGGCTCCCCTCAGCCTCCAGCAGAGTCCATTCCTGAGATCCCCCTGTCACCCCAGCAATGGAGACAGGTTCTGCCCCACATGTCCCCATGGCATTGGGGTACACTGAGAACCAGTGTCAATTAATGCCTCATATTTCTGTGGCTCTGATGATCCAGGCCATTGGATCCACACCATCCAAAAGACCTGGTTTTCCTCTGCCTCTCCCTGGCTGGAGGCAGGGCCCCTCCAGCCCTGGTTATTATTTCTTTTTTGGGCATACATGCTAGAGGTTTTTTTAAGGGGATCCAATAGGTCATCCTGCTTTCTATAATACCCTGCACCTTGGTCATGGGAGGCTGAGGCTGCCTTCACTTTAGTGGAACTCTCTTGGTTGGTGTTTCCCTCCCTGAGCTGACACACCCGTGCTGCCAGGACAGAAGTGGGTTTCTCATCTCACCTTCTCATGTTTTCCCCATGGTTGTGCAAGAAGAAACAGAGCTCAGCTCTTGGGGTGAACCCTCTCTCCTTAGCTGGGGGATGTTGGGGGTCGGCCTCCACTGCGGGAGAAGGTGAGGGGGGGTCCCCGGGGGTCGTGTGACTCCCCCATGTCCCCCCATGCCGGGGTCACCCCCTTTTCCCTCCCCCGGAGCTCCTGACCCAGCTCCTGCTCCCCCCGGGAGGGGATTTGGGGAGCCCCCCTGGGACCCCTTGAATCCCCGTTCCTGGGCACTGGGACCCCCTCCCCCACATCTCCTTCTCCAGCTCCGGGACCCTCTGCACCCCCTTTCCCGGGTATCCTCCTCTCGCAGCCCCTGGATCCCCTGTTTCCGTCACCCCGGGGACCCCCGGACCCCCATTCCCGGCCAGCCCGGGGCACCTCACCCCCAGGCTTCCCTTTCCTGGGAAAGCCGAACTGGGCACGGGGCTCTGCAGCCGCGCTGGGATGGATGATCAGCCAGAGGAAAGGCAGAGAACAGGAGAAAGGGAAGGAGATCGGGAATCAGGGCTCGCAGTCCCGCCGGGCGTGGGAGCCCGAAATGGATGCGCGGATCGCGGGGCTTGCCCCGCTTTGGGCAGGGCCCGGCGGGTTCCGGGCAGAGTTTGAGCGCAGGCCCCGGGAGTTCAGCACAGCTCGGCCCGGGGGTCCCGCAGAGCGCGGCCGAGGAGGGTCCCGGGGGATCCCAGGAGGGGATCCCAGGAGGGGATCCAGGAGGGGATCCAGGAGGGGATCCAGGAGAATTCCCGGGAATTCCCCCGCGCTCCCTCGGGCACTTTCGCTTTCGCTTTGCCCAGCCCGAGATGTACCCGGCGACCGGTGACGTCACTGCAGACTCGGGCTGCCATTGGCTGTAGGGAAAGAGCGGCGCCAATGGCGGGGCCGGAGGCTGCTGAGGGGGCGGGGCCGGAGCTGTGGGCGGGGCCGGAGCGGAGCAGCGCCATGGCTCCAGCGCTGGGGCTGGGGCGCTCCTGGGGGAGCGGCGAGAGGTGAGGGGGACCCCCGGCACCGGCACTCTTTGACCGCTCATTGCGGAGCACGGAGGGGCCCCTAAACCCCCATTCCCGGGCGCCTCGATCTCCCCGAACCCCCATTCTCGGCCATGCGCTCCACCCTGCACCCCCTTATCCGGCACCAAGAACCCCCGCACCCCTTTCCCTGCCATCCCGCCTCTCCCAGCCCGCAGAGTCCCCTTCTCCTTGACCCAGAGACCCCCTGGACCCCTATTAATGCCTTTCCCAGCCCCTCCTCTCCTCAACACTGAGGGCACCCTCGACCCCTATTCCCAGCCATCCCGGCTTTCCCCGCCCTGTGCTGGAAGTGGGGACACCGGGGACCCTCGGAGCTCCCTTTCCTGGGTACACGGAACCCCTGCTGCGGGAAGTTTCCGCCTGTGACCTCCTGTCCGCGGATCCCATCGGCTCGGCAAGGACGGCCGGGAATTCCTCTCCTTCCTGCTGGATCCGGGACATTCGTGGTGGCCGACGGCGCTGCCCAGGTCACCAAGAGGTGCTGGGAAACTGGGGAGATCGAGGCTGAGGAATTCACAAGTTACCTGGGGCACACCTGCCGGGAATGCTGTGGAAATGTGTCAGGGATGAAAACCATGGAAGTTTCCTCCTGGAGGGCTCTGCCTGAGGCGTTCTGTGCAGTGAGAAGCACTCCTGTCACTCATCCCAGCTCTCAGGGTTTGGGCTGCGATGCTTGCAGCACATCCAGCGCTGAGAGGAGTTCAGGAGGGTCCCTTAGCATTTGGGGTCCCCGGGATTTGCGGAGAAGCCCCCGGTCCCCCCAGGATGTCCCTGAACACGCTGGCGCTGCCCGTGCGCAGTGAGAAGGTTCATACCCGGCACGGGGTCCCCAGCTCTGGCACCGGCATGGCCCAGGTACCCCCAAAACCTCCCGGAACCCCCAAAACCTCCCGGAACCCCCAAAACCTCCCGAAACCCCCAAAACCTCCCCCGGGATCCCGGAAACATCCCCCGGGATCCCGGAAACATCCTCGGGACCCTCCAAAACCTCTCCAAGACCGCAAAACACCATGTGGGCCCCCCTCAAACCCTCTCAGGACATCAAAATTCCCATAGGACCTCCCAACCCTCCCCCAGAATCACCTTGAGAAGATTTATACCTGGCACGGCGTCCCCATCTCCATCACCGGCAGGTACCCCAAAACAGCCTTGGGACCCCCAGTTCCACCCCAGGGATCGCCCAAATTTACCCATCGGGACCTCTGAAAACCCCCCTCGGGAACCCCATGGCCCCAAATACCCCCCCCACAAACTGGGGGAGACCCACAAACTCCCCCGGGAAACCCTCGCCAAGGTTTATACCCACCACAGGGTCCCCATCGCCATCATCGGCATGACCCAGGGACCCCCAAACCCTCCTGGGACCCCCAAACCCTCCCCAAACCCCCAATCTCCCCCGGGCTCCGCTGCCGGAGTCAGCGGGAGTGGTGGTGCCGTTTTTAGGGGAGTTACAGTGGAACACGATTAGAGGCGCCCCTTAAAGCTGCGATGGCACAGAGAACCCCAAAAATCCACCCTGGGCGCCAAAACATTCCCTACAGGGGCTTGTAGTGGCTACAAATGTCACCTAAATCATGATCCCTCCTTAAAAGGGGCCTTTGGGGCTGCGGCCACACAAACACCCCAAAATGAGGAGGAAAAAGCACCCTTGTAGTTGTGGGATTCCCAAAAAAAAACCTTAAAAAGAGAAAAACTCCTCTTCAAAGGGGCCTGAAGAGCCTTAAACGCCCTCAAAGTGGGGCGGGATCCCCTCCGAGCCGGGAACTCTCCGGTTCGCTGCCCTCGGGGGAGCCCCGAACCACGACGGGTCCTGGGCTGAGCCCCCCACCCCCAGCCGGGGCTGCGGAGGGAACTGGGGGGGCTGGGACGGGGCTTGGGAGTCCTGGGGTTCACTGGGGGACCCTCAGGGGGTCCCATTTCCCCCTGTCCCCCCTTTCCCATTGTTCCCCCCAAAGCTCCGCTCCCCACAGCTCGGTTTGGGGGTGACCCAGCGCCTTCCCTCGCGGCCCGAGATTCGGTGGAGGAGGAGGAGGAGGAAGAGGAGGGACAAAGGAGGAGGAAGAGGAGGGATGAGGAGGAGGAGGAGAGCGAGAGGAAGCGCCACGTGCGTTCACCGCTCGCTGTATCCGCGGCTCCTTCGCCCCCCGAGCATCGCATCCCGCAGGTGAGCGGGGAGGGGGAGCTCGCCCCAAATATCCCGGGGGGTTTTGCTGAATGGGGAGGGGGATTTGGAGCTCCCACGAAATATATCTGCGGTTCCGTGGTTCGTTCTTTCTGTCGGGAGCTTGCAGGGCTCCCGAGCCGAGCCGCAGATGCCCCTCGGGGGGACATCGGGGGGTCCCCGGGCGGTGTTTTTGGGGGATGCGGGGTTGGGCTTCCCGGGCCGGGCCCTGCGAGCTGTGCCGGGACCGGCGGGGGGACACCGGTTTGGGGGAGCCCCGGGAGAGCCGCGGCTTCCCTGAGCGGGAGCCCAGAGACAGGAGAGCCCGAGAGGGGGGGAGCCCTGGGATTGCCGGGACCCCGGCGGGGGGTGCTGGGGCTGGAGGGGCGGCATGGCCGGGAAAGGGGTTCGGGGGTCCCGGTGCCGGGAGGGGCTGCTCCCAGTATGAGCCCAGTCGCTCCCAGTATGATCCTGGTCATTTCCCCTCTCTGCCTGCATGATCCCTGTTGCTCCCAGTATGAACCCAGTCATTCCCAGTCGTTCCCTATGATGGTACAATTTGCCCCCAGCACGGTCCCAGTTGCTGCCAGTTCCTCCAGCCTTTGTCCAGTGTATTCCCAGTTCTCCCAGTTGCCCCTAGTATAGTCGCAGTCACTCCCAGTATGATGCCAGTCTCTCCCAGCAGGGCCCCAGTCACTCACACTTCCTCCCAGTTCTCCCCAGCACATTCCCAGTGGCTCCCAGTGTGGTCCCAGTCCCCACCCACACGGTCACAGGCACTCCCAGTATATCCCAGTTGCCGTGAACATTCTCGTAGTCATTCCCAGGCACTCCCAGTTACCTCAGCGTGGTTCCTTTGCCCCCAGGATTATCCCAGTCACTCCCAGTACATCCCAGCTGTCACCAGCATGCATCCTGTCATTCCCAGTTCCTCCCAGTGTGTGTGCAGTTGGCTCCCAGCATGGGCTTGGTAGCTCCCAGTAGCCCCCAGTCAGGGTCCACTGATACCCACTATAATCCCAGTATGATTGTAGCCATTCCCAGTATGATTCCAGTCACTCCCAGTATGATGCCAGTGGCCCCCAGTGTGATCCCAGTTGCTCCCTGTCAATGCCAGCATGACCCCCGTAGCCTCCAGTATGATCCCTGTGACTCCCTGTCTCTCCCAGTATATCCCAGTCATCCTCACTTCCTCCCAGTTCCTTTCAGCATGATTCCAGCTGCTCCCAGTCAATCCCAGTATGATTTCAGTAACTCTCAATGTGATCCCAGTATGATCCCAGTTGCTGCCAGAATACTTCCAGTTGTTCCCAGTTCCTTCCCATATGATCCCAGTAGTCCCTAGGATAGTCCCAGTCCCTCTCAGCATGGTCCCACTCACTCCCAGTTGTCCCCAGCATGATCCCAGCTGTTCTCAGTGTGGTTCCAGTCCCCCCAGTATGGTTACAGACACCCCCAGTATGGTTACAGACACCCCCAGTATATCCCAGTTGCTCAGTAAGGTTCTAGTTACCTGAGAATGATCCCAGTTTTTCCCAGTTACTCCCAGTTGCCTCCAGCATGACCCGTTCCTGTCAGTTGCCCAAAGTCTAGTCCCACTTACTCCCAGTATGATCCCAGTTCCCTCAACATGGTTCCAGTATCTTCCAGTTGATCCCAGTTGCTCCCAATGTGTCCCCATTAGCCTCCCAACATGGGCCCAGTAGCTCCCAGTAACCCCCAGTCAGGTTCCATTCACACCCATTTTAATCCCAGTGGCTCCCAGGATGATCCCAGTAGGATCCACAGTCACTCCCAGTATGGTTCCAGTCACTCCCAGTATGATCCCAGCCACTTCTGCTACAATCCCAGTCACCTCCAGTATGATCCCAGTCAGTCCCAGATACTCCCAGTATTATTCCAGTCATGCCCAGAGTGACTCCCTGTCACTCCCAGTCACCTCCAGCATGGTTCCAGTCACAAACAGCAATTTTCCAGTCACTCCCAGTTTGATTCCAGTAGGATCCCAGTCACTCTCAGATACTCCCAGTACTATTGCAGTCAGTCCCAGTCTGATGCCAGCCAGTTCCAGTAGGATCCCAGTATGAGCCTGGCACGGCCATAGCTGCTCCCATTTTTATCCAGTGTATTTCCAGTTGCTCCCATTTACCCCCACTATGGTTTCAGTCTTTCCCAGTGTATCCCAGTTGCTGCTGGCATGTTCCCAGTCACTGCCAGCTGCCCTGAGTTGCTTCCAGCCTGATCCCAGTTGCTCACAGGCACTCCCAGTCACCCTCGGTGTAGTCCCAGTTGCTGCCAGTATGATCCAGTATGGTCCCATTGTCCCTCAGCATGTTTGCAGTGATTCCCAGTCACTCTGAGTGATGCCAGTCCTGGGATCCCCCCTCCCAGATCCCCCGAGAGGAGCCCCAAGGGCTGGAATTTCCCACTCAGGG